CACATGCAGAGCCTTTGCAGACTCGAGGTGAGCCCTGGGCAGGCAGGATTGCCAGTTCAGCCCTCGAGTAACGACTGACCGGCCATCTGCCGAAGCAGCTAGCAGCACTCCTGCTGGCATTACTGTGGGGTCTGGCTTCTTGGCATGAAGTGGACTGACTGTATGAATGTGGGGAGGAAAAAGGATCCAAAACCAATGCGAGCTCTTTGCAAGATATTTTGTTTTCTAATGTTTCATAAACACATAATCCCAGTTGTTCGTTCGCACCATTGGGTGACAAAATGGTTTATCTTACCTGCTGTAATGGTAGAAAATATAAATAGCTTTCTAGCAACCAGGCTTCATTAATATGTATTGGAAACCTAAAATGGTATTCAGCTATGAGGGGGAAAAGTACAGAATTGCTTTGGATTATAATAATTTCAGCAAAGCATCTAATTTATATATTAAGTTTGCTTAATGGACTTATATTGCCTTGCTCTCTAACCTGAAGAAAAAGGTGGTGAATAATTTATCAAGTACAAAAAGCACCCCTAGCCCAGCCCACACGTCACAACCTGCCCTATAATTTACATTTTTTAAGATATGCTGTTTCCAGGCAGGAGAACTGGTTCCTAAAGATTCCTTCTAATATTACAAATGTATTTTTGCGAGGTACACTCTGGGGAAAAAATAATAATGAAGGAATACAATTCTGCAGACAAATGGTTCAGCTCTATGCCTTCTTCACTAAAGACAGTCATTTCAACTAAATGCCAAAAGGCATTTAGCTGTAGCATTTGTCAGTGAAATAGGGTTGGCTTTAGGTTTCCCTCCTGATTTACAATTGAGTGTTTATTGGGTTTACTGTACTGTAGCATGTTTTGTTAAGCTCTAAAAAACCGCATCCAGCTTCTACATTAGTCACAAGGATGAGACCTGTCATAGTAAACTGGGTCAGCGTGGGGCTTTTGTGTCCTGCCAGACTTTGTGGAAAGGATGCTGACTGCTCCAAAAGGGGCAGGAAAAATGTGCTGGCAGCTTTGGGCTGAGATCTAGATAACTTGGGTCCAGCTCCTGGCTCCTGAGATGGTTTCTTGTGAGATGTGTAATCTATTTCTCCATGTCTTTATTTTTCAACCAGAAGAAGGGGGGGGGAAACTATGTCATGTCTCCCAGTAGCTGGGTGAGCTGCTGTAGAGTCACATGCCTAAGGAGGATCTAGATCAGTGTGGTGTTGTTTAAAGGATAATTATTAGGAACTTCGTGCCTGGAGTTGCTCAGTTGGATTGTGTCTACCTTTTGTAGTAATTCCTTAGTAATCCCTGCTTCTAGTCACATATACAGAGAACAGCAGTGTTGGTAATCACAGCTCTATCATGACTCTCTACACGTCTCCCATTCACATTTCCCCCCATTTGTCCAAAGCAATGAGTTGTCAAACATTTACTATGGCTGTGCACAGGGTTTATTCATATTTAAATAAAGCCATTATCCTGGCCTTGAGTTTCAGTAGTTTTCTGCTCTTTCTCTTGAGTATTTCTCTCTGTAGTGCCATCTAATCAGCTTTAGGTTTTAATTAAACAGCTGTCATTTGCTTCCTAGTTCTGTTGCGACCTGATGTTGTATTAAATTTTAATTTAGCCTAGGCTGGATAAGAAGTAGATTCCTTCAGACAACAAAGAAACGCTATTAGCAGGTTACAGTTGTAATTAAGAAGAGCTCTGCTGAAGTGCTAATGCATTCGGGTACAGAGAAGGAGCTGGAGATAAACATGCCCATGATTATTATTCAGGGTAGAGCCTGCAAGATGAATGTGTACCTTCCACCTGGGCTGCTTGAATTGAAGCTTTTGGTCAAGACCTCACGACTAAAACCCTTGACAAAGGAAGTAGGAAGGGATTCCCCGTTTTTCACCTGGGACCTTGCAGTGTCAGCAGTTAAGAGGTTTGGCTGGTGGTCCCTGGGTGTTGTTCCAGGTGTGTCACTGATGCTGTGCCATGCAGGAGGACCTGCCTATATAAATCAACATTATTACCCCTCTCTACCTTTCACACGCTGTTAGGAGTAACCAGCACAGGTATCTTAAATTCAGTAACACTTTTTTTTCTGCATTAAACCCTACCATGGAAATATAAAACAAGCCTAACAGAACCTAGATGAAATGCTATTACTTGTTGAAGATGGACTAAAAAAAGTAGTCTGTTTATAAATCTAATGGACAGTCAATTAGTTCAGTTCTGCCTTCATATTTCTTCCTCAGAGGAAATATGTTTTTTCAGTCTATAAATAGTCAGCTCTTAAAATGGTCTTTACACAGCCTATTATACTTGTGTAACACTCGATCCAGGCACCAGGCATCTGCTATATTGATTTCTACAGCAGAATTGCTTACCAGTGAAGGGTAGTTTTTGTGAAGCAGCACCAGCTAATTGGCACGCTGGGTACCTGTACGCACTGGGGAGGAGGGAAGGTTTCAGGACAGTGTTTGTGTCAGGAGTAGGATGAGTATATTTTAGAGCACCCACAAGTGCAGCGTTGCAAGGTGTCTCTTCTAAGACCCTTTCTCTCATGCTCATCTTCACAGGGAGTTTTTGAAAGGAATGCAAATGTCTTTATAAACTTTGCATTATCCTTCAGAACATCAAAGCCTGACTTCAGCTTGATAGCTGAGCAGCACTTGAAAAGTTAAAAGGTGGATAGAGGTTTTGTTTATCCTTTGTCACACATGAGGGTCAACAGGAGGGTGACACAGTGAACAGTGCAAAAAACAAAGGAGAAATTAGTTCAGACCTGTTGAGAACCCAATTCCAAGTCCACTGAAATCAAAAGAAGCCTTTAATCTATGACTCAGTAGGGCTTTGGATCAAACCATAACTGCATCCAAGTGCCTCCTGCCCCTGACATGTAGGAGTTACACAGCTGTGCTAACAGAGAGGGAGTTTGGAAGGAGAATTAGTCGCGTGTTCGTTGTTTGTGGCCTTGGCAAAAGTAACGTGTCCCCTGATGCACTGAAGAGGACTGTTGTTGAAGAATGGCTTAGTAATAGCATACTGGCAAATGGCTTCTTGGGAGCATTTTGAACACAGGACCGCCGTGTCTTCATCGTATATCTGGTAAATGTTTATATTAGATTGATGGGTTGGGATTTAGGGGATATTTGCTGTTGGTTTGGTGAAATCTGCCCCCCTGTTCTCTGACATACTTGTTGATGAAGGACCCTTAGTTTCTCTTTGTCTTATGCAGCCTATTTCCACCTGAGGTGCAACTAATTGTTTTATTTCACCTGGCAGTGCATTTTCTTCTCAGTTTTGTTCAAACCTCAGTCTTTGTAAAGGTTTTACAGTTGCTCTTTCACACTTCCACTTTTGTCACATACTTCTCTCTTTCCCAGTGTCCCTCCCTCGTGGACGGCAGCTGGTTATAAATGAGCCCATTCAGCATAAACAAAAACTAGACAGTTATTTACTGTGTAAAACATCTGGTTTGTGCCTCGCAGAGAACAGAACAAAGACAGTATATTTATTTCATGAGGTATTATTCAGAAAAGCATCTCTATTCAGGACAACACTTAAACACATGCTTAAATCACATTGAAGTCTAAGTGTCAAGTTGAGCACGTACTTTTAGTGCTGTTCTGAACAGAAATGGACTCGAGTACATGCTTAAATGCTTTTCTGGAACATGACTGCCCATAAAGCTTCTAGCAGACTATATTAGTTAGCTGGCACTAGTGTTATTAGTACTTCAACTCATTTAATTCAGGGTGCTTTTTGTAGAAGTTTCTGAATATTGATTAATAATACATCTTAGTTGCAAGTATTTATTAGTCTTCGCCAGCTGTCCTCAGCTTGTGGTCAATGCCCATTATTTTCTATCAATCTAGCTAGCAGACAGAAGCAAATGATAGTGAATATATCTCCTATGCAAGCTGCCATCAAATTTTTCACTAAAATCCATTTCTTCTTCCACCAATTCTAATAATGGAATTTAAAGTTAGATTAGTTGGAAGCAATTTTTTTTTTTTTTTTTTTTTCTCAACTGGCAAGCAATTAGTTTTATGGAAGTTGAAAAATGAAAAGCAGATTGATTCAAAGCAGTATTTCCTACTGCAGGCTTTTTGAGACAGCTGAACTGGATCTCTATGAAAGCCCAGATCGCTCCTTGCCCCACATGTGTGTCCAGTTTTGGGCCAGCAGTAAGCACTGCTTAAGCAGAGACAAGCTGCTCTGGAGGCCTTTGGAGGCTGTTCCCCTCTCACTCTGCATACCTGCTTACGCAAGGCAGGGACCTCTGTAGCAACTCATTTAGAGTAATTAATCAGACCGCAGCCATACTGAGACACAGAGGAAGGCTGTGTTAATGGAGTCATTAGAGTGCCAACACTGTGAATTCATCAGGATTAGAGATAAATGTGGTAAAACATCTCTAGGTGGGATTTTGATGGGGAAAGATTAAAAAAAAAATAAATGCATGGATGGCATTGCTTAGTTTGCAGTACCCTACCTCCTTCATAGTGTTTCTCATCATGTATTTATGTCCTGAAAAGGGAAAATGGTCAACTCACATCACTGTTAGCTGGAACAGTAAGGAAAAAATGCTATTATTGTAATGCTTGATAATCACCTCCCAAATCACTGTCACGAGTTGGGGCAAAGGGGTGGGAAGAGTTGCTGACACCTTCTGGAGTTCGTACCCCAATAGCGCTGTGGTTCTGCCAAGCTGCAGATGTCCCTTGGCACGTAATTGAGGTACAGATTTCGTTGCTGCTGTAAATGGGCTCAAAAAGAGGAAATCCATATGTTTGTCAAAACCAGGAATTGATGGTCCAGATGCAACTTTTGGCTTAGAAAGTTGTTAAACCATTGAGTGCAGGGAGCCCAAAGGTTGTGAGCAAGGAAGGGTCACTCCTCTGCCCCATCAAAGTTTTGATTAATCAATCTGACCCCTGCAGCATTCTCATGGTTTTATGCTTCTCTAATGCCCATCCCTTGTTTGTCTTTGTGTGCATACAGGACACAGAAGTCCTTAACACAGCCATTCTGACGGGGAAAACAGTGTCTGTTCCAGTCAAGGTTGTTGCTGTGCAGGAGGATGGGTCCGTGGTTGATGTTTCAGAGTCCGCCGAGTGCAAATCAGCTGATGAAGACATTGTAAAGGTAAGGCACCCACAGGAGGTGGAGGATGAAGTTTTCAGCCTTTTCTTCTCCACTACTACTGGGATCTAGCCTATATTTGGGATTTTACATCAACCAGTTGTTTTACGGTCATGGCTGTTTCTGTGGTGCCAGGTTGTTTCCACTGTGCGATGAGGAGTGTGATCTCCAGAGGTTATGCAGGGTCCATGTTTTTCCATAGACTGATGTGGAGCCATTTGTGCTGGTGTGTTCCATGTGGTGTGGCAGAAGAGGGCCAGGGACGCCGAAAGTGCAGTCCTAGTCTTTCTTCGCTGGCCAGCCAGTGCTGATGAGAAAGGACCTGTTGTCTGATACATCCCACTTGGGGAAAGTCAACTCCCCACCCAGGGATCTTTGTTCTTGTGTGGCTTTTCTGCATCCTTTTATTAAATAGTAATCACACAGTATATTGTAAGAGTGTACAACAAGGTTTCATACATGCTTCTGAATGCATCACCTGCTTTCCAGTCAGGAGTTTCTTATAAGTAAAGATAACTGAACTGTATCAAAATCTGAAGGAGCATGACAGAATAGAAAATAACAAACATATTGCAAAAATTCTTAAAACAAGGGCTGGGAGCTTTTAAACAATGTTGTGTTTTGTTTTGTTGATTTTTGGGGTATTTTTCAGGGGTTTTTTTATTTCTTTTCTTTTTTATTTTCTTTAAATAATCTGTTCAACTGATTCTCCCTCCTTGACATTGAGATTAAAATAGCATTAATGTGACTTTACCAAGACACTGACTGCATGACTTCTGACACCGTTGCATGGCTTTCAGCTTTTAGATCACTGTTGTTTTTTAGTATAAAAGAGGTACTTCTGAATCCTGGTTGGTTTGTTTTTAATATCTTGGTGACATAAAATGGGAGTAATGTTATTTTTGTGAAAATCGCAACATCCTTATAATGGATTTCAGTCACAAATTACTGAGAGGTGCTCTCAGACTGAATGCTGTTCAGCCATAATTTTTTAACTGGAAATATATGTATTGGTTGCAAGATTGAATTCTTAACGATTAATTAGCTGAGTTAAAATTTAGTACAGGGTTTATGTGCCCATATTTTCTCAGAAAAATGCATATTCCCTTTACAAGCCCCTTTGGTAAACTCAGTATTGACTTCGCTTGCAAATTTGTGTTGCCTTTTCTATATAGGTAGTACTGCTAAACCCTCTACTAAGAGTTGTCAGGCATTTTGGATGTAATTGCCTAATCTTAAGCTTCTTTTTGCTGTTAATTCTGCCTTTATTGTTTCTTTGTAATTTGAGAGATATTCATATTCTTTTGGGCAGAACAGAGTGTTGCATTCTTAACCTTTTATTTCTGTTTAATAGCTAATGATTTAATAGACAATTAATGAGACAATTCTTTGATCAGTGCTATAACACCATTATTTTCAATTAAGACACAATGAATTGAAGCTGGTTTAAATAAAACCAGACTTTGGCCTAGGCTATTATGTATTTATATAAAAAGTGCTTATCCAGGCAGCTACCTAGATATCACACTGATATAAATACTACTCAGAGATGGTCAAACAGATAGATGATATACAAGTGATTTATTTGTAGGCAAGAGATGTGAATCTTTCCTATTCTGAGCCATATATTCCCTCAGCCTAGCAGCTTAATAGCTTCCCAGCAAAAGAATATTTGAGTCCACATTTTTCAAAGCCTACCTAATTAGTGGTAAATAGAATGAAACACCAATTAGTTTCTGTCCTTCCATTTTCCATCCTTAGCGTGACTTGGTCCTCAAAGGAATCTCACAAGTTAACTGGCTCAGTTCAGCTGCAGTCCCTGGTCCGTGCGGTTGCTGGTCCCTGCAGTTGGACATAGGTTGTAATACTGACCAACAGTTCTAACTTCAGCTGGCTACCCTCTAAAAGTTTTTGATGGAAACATTCCTGTAAGTCACTGAACCTCTTAGGCTTATTCCATTATTGAAAAGGAACATTTAATGCTGTTGGCATTTGAGGGAAAAGATTGGCTTTATGATTAAGGCACTGAAATGCTTCTCAGCATTAATTTCCATATCTCTTGCTGATTTCCTGTGCGACTGTGGGTAAATCACTCATTCCCCTTGGAATCTCGCTTCCTTATCTGCAAACAAGGCAGAGAAATGCATCCTTCTCCCAGCCTCAGCCTGCCTTATGTGGTTTCTGAAGCTACTGTTGACTCTGAATGGCCAAAATCCTTCTCTCCACTAGAGTCTCTTTAACTTCAGTGGTCTTCTGCCATGGACTCACTTGAAGGACTTCTCTCCCAGTGTCCCACTCTTCCTTCAAACCACACCTAAATAGGGCTGTGAAGCTGAAAAGGAAGAAGTGGTGGAAACTTAATAGAATTTATGCATAAATTATTCAGCTACTCTGGTGATGGTCAATACACTGAGAGATGAAGGAGCTGTAGGCATGGTGGGATGGACCTTTCTATATGTATGCCAAATCATGGGGCCAATCTTCATAGGTGGGGAAAAAAAGCCTCGAATGAAAAGACTAAAGCAGTTGTACCAGGGCAAGGACCTCCTTTGCTCATCCATCCTGTCAGGAAATGTAAGCACTGCTGAAGTTTTTCTGGCCTGTTACAGTGGGTTTCACTTGCTGCCTGCTGGTCTTTGAGCTGTAGTTAGAGGGAAATACGAGCTAGACCAACATCCATGATGGAGGGAACATCTTGAGATTGTTGTCTTACAGAGGGAAGTCTAACCTGAGGGGCTTTGGCATAGTCAGTCTTTACATACATTTCTTTTTCCTCCCTGTAGAAGTATTTTTAAAAGCCTGAACCACAGTAATTTCACATGAAGAAAAATTCTGAAAACATTGTCGTTAGGTGGTAGTCATAAACATCACCCACAAAGCCACTTCAAGTGAGGAAATTAGATTGAGGACAGCTTCTTAGTCCAAATGTTTATCTCAGTAGTGTACAAATGAAAGGGAGACAGCTGCCCAATTAATTCATTCTTAGATTAGTCATATTTTCATGTCCTTTGCAAGTTATGCAGAAATTGACTGATGGTTCAAATTAATCTCTGCAGTATGCCAAATAGCTTCCGTGGAGTTACACCATGGACTAATTTAGCCTAATTTTTTTGTAAGAGAAAGGGCTTTCAGTTGAGCAGAAGGGAGTCAGCGGGCCTCATCCTGCCCATTTCTGCTCACATGAAAAGTGCAATAGGACCAGGCTCAATGTGCAGGCAGAGGCATACGTTAAGAACAATGGTGCTTCAGTAATACACCACGAACTCCGTCTCTACGAGAATGCACTTTTCTTGTTAGCTTGCTAGAGGAAAGTGCTTTAATGAATTATTTTTCACCTTTTCATAATTTCCTGTCTAATTATAATGAAAGTAAAATTCAAACCATTCCTACCCCCTACTTTTCTAACAAAAACCTTATCTTCAACACTCCATAATTAATGTTAAAACAATAGAAGACCTAATTTTCCTAGCAGCAGCCAGCTAGGCTTTATCTAATGTGCAGTAAAAATAGTGTAAGACAGGCAGGAAAGGTAGTAGCTGAAATAGGTTGAATCTGAGGAAGGTTCTTCCCTCTTCCAGACAAAAAGCAGATGAGTGACTGTGAGGATCTTATTCAACAACCCTGGGCACAGTGATCTCTAACCCCAGCACAGTAACTGCTACAAGGAACCATGGGGGGAAAAAAACCCAAACAAAACCAAGGGAGAGGGAGGGGTACTGCAGCTCCAATTTAGATGATACTGAATTTTTGGGAATAATTCCTGGATGCAGATTCACAGCACATTCTTAGGATGATTTACAGAAAGCAGTGCCTGCCTGGTGGTGTTAAATACAACTATTGACACAGGAGCTCTGAAAACAAAGCCAGAGTTTGCAATTTGCAAGTTCTGCAGCAGCTTCACCATTAAAGTATGTGCTCACAAATGTGCTGTACTTGTACATAAAGTGGAGCTAATCTTATTTCTCCATCTATCATACTTTTGAGTACCTACCACTACATTACTTAAGAGCTTTATTTTGTGGTCACTCACACAGAAATTAGCTCACTCCAGGAGTCCAAACTCTTTCTGGAAGCAGTGAAAATACTCTCTACTTGTTTATATGATGGATTTACTTTGGTGCCAGTTGGTTTAGTGATTTTTTTCTTCAGTGCTGCTGAATCGTTCAAGATTGACAGCCCTGGAGGCTTAACCACTCTGTCTTGCCCCAGAACAGGGGACAGGTTGGGGCTGTGGCAGGCAGCTGTTCAACTGGAAAGCTTTTGAAGTGCGAATGTTTAATTTGGTGAGTCTGTCTCCATGTCCATACTGTCCTTTTAATCTCACCTGATTAGTGCCAGTGAGTCAGTATCATCAGCTCCATGAAATCAGCTGTTAACAACCTCAAGTCACTGTGTCAGCTTCATCTCCATCCGTCTTTGGGGAGCTGGGAGGTAACGGACTCTGCAGTCCATTACAAAGCCCCTGAAATAATGACTCCGCTGATGCCTGGCAGAGGCAAGAGGCTTACGGCAGTGAAGCATTCCTCAGCTGAACAGAAGGATTACTTAGGAGATGAGGATCCTGCTTGGGACTGAGGAGTTCTGGGTTACCTCTCTGCTTTACTCCAGACCTTCTCAGTGAAGCTGCTGGTCTCTGTCTCAGTAGTGCCATGGTGGATGGATACTCCTGGCCCAGAAGGATTTACTGGTGAGAAAGCTGTTGAAGATGGTGCATCTTATCTTTTGTATCTGTAGATAGGTATGCCTAAGTTAGAGCAATAATTAAATATCATTGAGCTGCTTGCAATCCATCAAACTTATAAATTAGAGCTTCTCATGATTTCTAGTTATTTTGGCCAAAACCCCCACCCCCTTTGCCCCCATACAAAGTCCATCTTTATGAGTCGTAAAGAGATAGACAGGAGAGTACAGCAGATCTCTCTGCAACGTGTCAACTGTCGAAATAAGGATTTTGCTTTTTGTTGAAATATCAGAGGTTCTGACATTCAGGTCACCAGGTTCTG